CCACCTGAGCCTCCTGAGTATTTTTTTTTTGTTTTTTTTTTGTTTAGAGTCAGAGTCTTGCTATGTTGGCCAAGCTGCTCTCAAACTCCTGGCCTCAAGTGATTCTCCTGCCTCAGCCTCCCACAGCACTGGGATTACAGGGCGAGTCACTGTACCCACAAGGCTTTCATTCAAAAGCATACACACAAATACATCTTATGCTCATGACCCCGCAAAGATCACAGACATTAATGACACATATGATTGCAGCTACAGAGTCCAAACACATAGGCTTGTTTGCCCATGTGGACACACATTTGTGACCACTGTGTTGTATGCACTCAAGATTGCATGCCCTCATGGAATGCATTTGGCAAGTCACAGCCTGGAGGTGACACACAGAACTCCAGAACTCATCATGTCCAGCCAGTGTAGACTCACACATGCTTGGGTTCATCTGAGAATGCGGTCCTGATAGGCACAGCAGTATACACACACCCATTTGTGGGCATACAATGTTCGTCAACACCATCACAATATACACAGCAATACAAATATAACACATGCATGGATACACATCACTCAATGTGTGCAGAAACACACACAATGCATGTGTATACATCCTTTCACATGTGTGCATACTCCCTGCACACATCTATGCCCACAGTCATGCAACATAACATGCAGATTCATGCCCTGGCTCACCAGGCTCAGGGCTGCAGATCTTGCTGATCTCTGGAGAGAGACACATGAAACACACACACATATGCACTCCCAGGTGCACGCACAGTCATACCATGTGCAATCAAACACACACACATATGCACCCCCAGGTGCATGCACAGTCATACCATCTGCGATCAGTTGGCTGGACACTGCCTGGCACATAAGAATACGTGTTTTCACAAGTACCTCCAGGTGTAGACACCGCCAGCCAGGGCCCACCCAGTTGTCATGCACTCACACACCTGCTGTTCCCCTCAAGCAAGCCCTCTGCCTCCCTGATACCTCCCCCCAAGGATACTCACCCGCTTCCCTTTCTCTCCTATTGGCCCCAGGGGTCCAGGAAACCCAATTGATCCCTGAGTGGAGAGAATGCAAGAGAAGAGGTGAGGGTGAGGAGTGGGGGTGTGCCCCTCCCCCTTGAGACCTTTCCAAGCCATGGATTCCAGAAGCTTCCTCAGTCCCTCTGGCCCTGCCTCCCCCCAGGCAGCCCTCCACCCACCTCTCCTCTCCCCCTCTTCTCACTTGACTCCAGCCACAAGCACCCCCTGTGTGCATACCTGTGCAATCCTGTCTCAGGGCCTTTGCACTGGCTGCTTGCCCCCTTTACCTAAACATTCTTCTCCCAGACCTCCACAAAGCCACCACTCCTCAGCATTTAGATCTCACTCAGATGTCACCTCCTCAAGCCCTTCTGCCACCATCCTGACTTCCACATCCTCCATGTTACCCTCTGCTTTCAGTATCCGTTTTGTTTTCCCCAGAATGCATTATTCACTTGCTTTGTCATTCACTGTCACTAGAACAATGGGATTTGGCTCATAGGTCTTATTCCCCACTTAGTCCTGGCACATAACCAGCACTCAGTCAGTACTTGTTACTGACTCCAGTCCATGGAGGGACCTTCCCTCCACCAGGAAGAGACGTCACGGGTGCTGATACCCACTCCTATGTCTCACTGTGCAGACTGGGCCCAGATCAGGAAAGACTTGCCTAAGCTACCCAGCAAGTCTGAGGGGGCATCCAGTCTCAAATCCCAAGTCCTCTCTCCTCCTTTCCCACCTGGGAGTGCCATGACCCCTAGACCCTTCAAGGATCCTGCACACCTGCACATTGTGACATGTTAAAATCTTAGCTTATTATTGACAAATCAATTTCTTACCAACCACTATTACCATGACTACTTCTGCTATCAATCAAAACCCCCTTCCCTGAATACCTTTGTTGTATCAGACACTTCCCTAAGAGCTTGCCTGTATCATTTAATTTTTTTGTTTATTTGTCTGTTTGTTTTAAAGGCCAGGTCTTGCTATGTTGCCCAGGTTGGAGTACAACGGTGTGACCATAGCTCACTGCAGTCTCCAACTCCTGGACTCAAGTGATCCCCCTGCCTCAGCCTCCCGAGTAGATGGGACTGCAGGTGCACCACCCTGCCCAGCCTGTACTAATTAGTTTTATAATTGTATCAGAGTCTAAATCCCAGACCTGCCACTAGACTAGCTGTGCAGCTCTGGACAAGTACCTTAAGGCCTCTGAGCAATAATTTCATTTTTTGTAGCCTGAGAATACCAACAACATCTCCCTCACTGGGTTTTGGTGTGAACTAAACAGGATAATATTTACAGAGTGCTTTACATGGTGTTAGGGACATAGTAAGCGTTCAGGAAATGTTAGCTGCCATGGTCGTTTTTATGGCGATTGCTCCTGACCCCAACTGTACCCTGGTTCTTGCAAATGTCATTGCTCAGTGTTCAACACACTTGGGCTGGTCTCTACCAGCAAGCTTCTCCCTCAAGCTCCTGTGAACGTCTGCTCCCACAGATTGAGTTTTGCACTTAGGTGTGGAGCCTTGAGTTTACCACCAAACTTGTTTATGTCTGTTGTACTTGCTATGGGAGGCATGCAATTGAATGGAAACTTATAAGAAATATGCAAGGGAAAAGAAAGATGTCTGTCAAAACTAAGCTAACCAATAGAAAGGGGAGTCACTTTTTTCTTTTTTTTTTTTGAGTTGGGGTCTTACTGTATCACCCAGGCTCAAGTGCAGTGGCACAATTGCAGCTCATTGCAAACTTGACCTCCTGGGCTCAGGCGATCCTTCTACCTCAGCCTCCCAAGTAGCTGAGACTACAGGTGTGCATGACCATGCCCTGCTAATTTTCTGATATTTTGTAGAGTCAAGTCTCACTATGTTGCCCAGACTGGTCTCAAACTTCTGGGCTCAAGCAATCCTCCCACCTCGGCTTCCCAAAGAGCTGGGATTACTGGTGTGAGCCATCACACCCAGCTGGGAAGTCACCTTAACAAAGCCATCATTCTACAAAAAAGATACCTGCACACACATGTTTATTGAAGCACTTATTCATGATAGCAAAAACATGGAACCAACCATGCTGCCCATCAAATCTGGACTGGATTTTTTAAAATGTGGCATATGTACACAATGGAATATTATGCAGCCATAAAGAAGGACAAACTTATGGACTTTGCAGCAACTTGGATGGATTTAGAGTCTGTCATACTCATTGATCTACCATAGAAACAAAGATCTGAGTACCACATGTTCTCACTCATAAGCGGACCCTGAACATTTACCATAATACTCCAAGAAAGGGATTGGCAGCAGTGGCATGCTGCTGGCATGGGGGTGGGGGTGGGGACACAACATCAACAAGGGAACCTGATCTCAAACCAGAAGTGGGGACCAAAGGGAGGCCCACACTCTACCTTTACGATGACCACTTCTACACCCAATCCTGAATTGCACCCCACATCTTTAAAATAAAAACAAAACATCACTATCATCACCACCATCAGCATTATTACAAGGAAACTGATGAGGCAGCTGTTATTGGCCTCTCTGTTTTGCAGCTGAGAAAACAGCCTCAGGGCCCAAAGTCTTGTATCAGATAAGGAGTGAATATTTGTGCCCAAGTCTGTTTAATCCTGGGCTCGGTGGCTCAGGCTGTAATCCCGCGCCTTTGGGAGGCTGAGGTGAGTGGATTGCCTGAGCTCGCGGGTTCGAGACCCGCCTGGGCAGCGAGACCTCATCTCTACAATAAATCAAAAAATCAGCCGGGTGTGGTAGCACGCTCCTGTAGTTCCAGCGACTTGGAAGACTGAGGCAGGGTCTTGCTATGTTGCCCAGGCTGGAGTACAATTTGGGGGAGGGGAGCCCTGATAAAGGGGCCCTGGCTTGAGCCCAGGAGTTGGAGACTGCAGTGAGCTATGATCACACCATTGTACTCCAGCCACAGAGAGATGCACTTGACCACAATGTAACTGAGCTTGGCTATAGTAGAACCAGCTGGGATCGCTAGAGCCCAGCTGGTCGAGGCTGCGGTGGCCAGGGGCTTGCCACTGCACTCCAGTCTGGGTGACAGAGTGAGACTCCAACTCAAAACACAAAACAAAACAAAACAAAATTGGCCAACTGTGTATTTTTATATAAGTACATTTTTGTATGAGTACATTTGGTGATAAACTAAGTAATTCAAGATATGTAAGGTGTGGTTTTTTTTTTTAATGATTATCTCCCTTAACTAATGTGGTTTATGAACCAACCTCAATCACACCAAATAAGAAGGTTACTACCGTTTTATCATCACTATCATCACCACCATCAGCATTATTACAAGGAAACTGATGAGGCAGCTGTTATTGGCCTCTCTGTTTTGCAGCTGAGAAAACAGCCTCAGGGCCCAAAGTCTTGTATCAGATAAGGAGTGAATATTTGTGCCCAAGTCTGTTTAATGCCAAAGGACCCTGTTGCCTGAGCTGGAGTGCAGTGACAGCATGATAGCTTACTGCAGCCTAAAGTGATCCTCCCACCCCATCCTCCTCGATAGTTGGGATAGTTGGGATAGTTGGGATAGGCATGCACCACTACACCTGGCTAATTGTTGTTGTTATTATTATTATTAGAGATAGCATCTCACTGCGTTGCCCAAGCTGGTCTCGAACTCCTGGCCTCAAGTGATTCTCCTCCTTCAGCCTCTGAAAGTGCTGGGATTACAGGTGTGAACCAGCATGTCTGGCAATTTTTTTTTTTTGAGTTGGAGTCTCACTCTGTCACCCAGACTGGAGGGCAGTGGCCACTCCCGGCCACCTCAGCCTCAACCTGCTGGGATCCGGCGATCCTTCCGCCTCAGCCTTCCAAGTAGCTGGA